AAGTTACACTGGGTGCAGTTTTCAGTGTCCAGCACCATAAATGGCTAGGTAATGGTACTATGGACTGATCTGGTTAATTCCTAAGGTCATAAGAGCTAGCCTGCATTTGAAGCAAATGATGTGAGAACCAACAAGAGGGAAAATTCTTCTCAAATTTATCTTCACCAGTCTTCCTGTCTCAGAGAGGTAACTGTGACTGCGCTAGTAATCATGAGCCCCAGCTAATATTCTGGCAACAAGGGCTTGAATCCCACCTTGGTAGGTGGTAAAATTTTAATTTAATAAAAGAATTTTGCAAATGTTGATGTGAAAACCCATCTGGTTTCCTTTTAGGAAGTAAGTATGGTGTCCTTTCTCTGCCATGCACATCATTTCTGACCGCAACATTGTGGTTGACTCTTAACTGTCCCTTGAAATGGCTCAGAGTCATTCAGCTCAAGGATTAGTAGGGATTATCAACAAATGCTGGTCTTGCCAGCAATGCCAACATCCCATGACAGAATAAAGAAAAAGAAAACTGCACCTGTCCACCTGACCAATGCACAGTCCTGTAGGTACAAAGCCCCATCCTCACATTGAGGATACTCTTTATCATGTGGCTCAACCACTGTGCTAAATTAGATTCTGAAAAGATCAGCAACTCAAGACTGGGTATGCATGAGGCCCAGTGGGTCATTAGTAGCAACAAAATTATATTCAATCACAATCTGCAACCTCATTGCTTGACTTGTCCCCCACTCTACTGTTATCGTCCACTAGGGGATCAACTCTGGATCGATGAAGAATGCAGCAGCATCAGAAGGCATACTTTAAAATGAGGTGTCAACCTGGTGAAGCAACAATACAAAACTACTTTGTATGCTAAACAGCTGAAGTGGCACATGATAAGCAATCTCATGACCAACATATCATACCTAAGTTTAGTAGTCCTGCCACACCCTGTCATAAATGATGGTAGACTTTTAAACAACTATCAGGAAGAGATTGTTCCTTGAATATCCCCATCTTCACTGGGGAGAGAGCCAAGTACATGAGTGCAAAAGGCAAACTTGAAGGATTTGCATTCGTATTTCGACCAAAGTTCCTGGGGATGACCTCAGCTTCCTCTGAGGTTCCCAGAATTTGTGATGCTCGTCTCTAATCAATTTGATTCGCTCAACATGATATCTAAAAATATCGGAGGGTTCTGGATAGTGGAAAAGCTATGGGTCCCAACAACTTTCCACATTCTAGCAAAATGAAAGCTTACGTTGAAGAACTAGCCCTGTCCCTAGCCAAGCTGTTCCAGTAAAGTGAGACTAGCATCAACCAAGCAGTGTGGAAAATTGCCTGTATATGTATCCTGACTGTAAAAGACAGGACAAATCCAACCTGGCCAATCACCACCCTATCAGTCTAATATCAATCATCTGCAAAGTGATGGAATGATAGCAACACCAACAACCCGCACCAGAATAAATAAGAAAAGCTGCAACTGGCCATAACAGCATTTATAGGAGTGACCACCATACAGTCCTCATAGATGCAAAGACAGCATTATCAAGCAGAAGCTGCTCAGCTATACCCTGCTTACTGATGCTTAGTTTGGGCCATTTGGCTTATTATAGCCTTAACCAAGCGTGAACAAAAGAACTGAACTCGAGAGGTGAAATGAGAGTTACGAACCTTCACATCAGTGCAGCATTTTACAGAACAAAAACAAAGTTGCTGGAAAAGCTCAGCAGGTCTGGCGGCATCTGTGGAGGAGAAAACAAGTTAATGTTTTGGGTCCAGTGACCCTTCCTCAGAACTGCAGCATTTTACAGAGGATGGCAGCAAGAATCCTTTGCAAATTGAAGTCAATGGGAATCAGGGAGAAATTTCTCCACTAGTTGGAGTCATACCTAACACAAAATAGGATGTTTGTGCTTGTTGGAAGTCAAACATTTCTATCCCAGGATATCTATGCAGGAGTTCTTCAGGCCAGTGTCCTCAGCTCAGTCATCTTCAGCTGCCTCATCAGTGGCTATGTTTATACGATACAGTGAGAGTTAGGTACATTTGCTGGTAATTGCACAAGGTTCAGCACCATGTGCACCTCCTCAGATACTGAAGTGGTCCTTAACCATATGCAGCAAGGCCAAGACAACAGTCAAGCTTGGGCTGATAAGTGATAAGTGACATTCACACCACAAAATAGGCAATGACTATCTCCAACAAGAAACAACCCAACAGTTGAGCTTTGATGTTCAAGGTATTGCCATTGTTGAATCCCTGATTATCAGCAACCTGAGTGTCCTTGATGAAGGCGATGGCCTCTTGGTATTGTTGCTAGACTATTAAACCCGAAACTATGGCTAACGTTCTGGGGACCCAGCTTCAAATCATTATCAACCACCTTCAACATTAACTCCCTGCACTACCGATGCACAGTGGTAGCAGTGCCTATCGTATGCAAGGTGCACTGTGGCATCTCACCAAGTCTTCATCAATAACACCTTCCAAATCCAAAACCACAACTACCCAGAAGGACAAAGCACCAGACACATGGAAACATTACCACCTACAAGTTCCCTTCCAAGCTTCACACTATCTTTACTTGGAACTATATCACATTTTTTTCACTGTCACCGGGTCAGAATCCTGGAACTGCTTCCTTAACAGCCCTGTGGGTGAATTAGACTCCAAGAACAGCAGATGTTCAAAAAGGCAGATCACCATCACTTTTTCAAGGAGAATAAATATTGGCCAAGCCATTGAAGCCTACATCTCCTGAGTAAATAATATTTAAAAATTATATCTCCTGCCCTCATTGTTCTACTTGGTAGACATCAAGAAGTTGGAATGTATTGGCAGGTTTCTATGTGTATTTGTAAATTATACATACTGCTGAGGTTGGTGATGTGTGTTTGTGGAGCCTCCTTTCCCAGTTAATTGTTTAATTGTTCACTACGATTCAAATTTGGAATGCAGAACTTTGATCCAAAGCATTGGTGCTTGTCCTGATCAAACACCCTGTCAGCACGACCCCAGCAAAATGAATTTTCCTAGCTGGAAGAAACCACCCTGCCTCTGCTGTCTTCATAGAACATAGAACATAGAACAGTACAGCACAGTACAGGCCCTTCGGCCCACGATGTTGTGCCAAACTTTTACCCTGAACCTAAGGTCTATCTAACCTCCACCGCTACCTTATACTATCATCCATATGCCTATATAGTAGCTGCTTAAATGCTCCTAATGAGGCCGACTCCACTACCCGCTCCGGCAATGCATTCCACGCCCCTACCACTCTGAGTAAAGAACCTACCTCTGACGTCTCCCCGATATCTACCTCCTTTCACTTTAAAACTATGCCCCCTCGTAGTAGCTACCTCCACCCTCGGAAAAAGTCTCTGGCTGTCTATTCTATCTATACCTCTGATCATTTTGTACACCTCTATCATGTCACCTCTCATACTTCATCATTCTAAAGAGAAAAGCCCTAGCTCACTCAACCTTTCCTCGTAAGACCTTCCCTCCATTCCAGGCAACATCCTGGTAAATCTCCTCTGCACCTTTTCTAATGCTTCCACATCTTTCCTGTAATGAGGTGACCAGAACTGGACACAATACTCCAGATGCGGCCGAACCAGGCTTTTGTACAATAATGATTGTCCTCGCCACCTCACTAGGGCTTGCCTGATTGGATCCAGCTATGGGTGGGGATTGGTGGTGGTGATGGGGGAAGGGAGCGGTTTGAGACGTTCCATTTTAGAACGACAGAAGCATGTTCAGTGTAAGTCCAGTTTGGACTTCCATGATCGGCAGAGGCAAGGTTCTTCCTGATCTTGCAGCCATTAGATGGGGCCATTGCCACTTCATATAATCCGAGCCACTATGCACTTGCGCTGGTCCGTTGCTGCTGTCCATTCCTCTGGGCCAGGTTCAAATCCCACCTGCTCCAGAGATGTGTTCTAACATCTCTAAACAGGTTGATTAAAAGTATCTGTGCACTTAAGGGAAAGGCATTTCGCAATAACTGGTGTCATAATTTAATTTGTGTCTTATATGTGGTGTGTTAGTGAACAAACGTGCATAGTTCCTTGAAAGTGGAGTCGCAGGTAGACAGGGTTGTGAAGAAGATGTTTGGCACGCTTGCCTTCACTGGTCAGTGCATTGAGTATAGGAGTTGGGAGGTCATGTTGCAGCTGTACAGGACATTAGTTAGGCCACTTTTGGAATACGGCATTCACTTCTGGTCTCCCTGCTATAGGAAAGATGTTGCGAAACTTGAAAGGGTTCAGAAAAGATTTATGAGCATGTTGCTGGGATTAGAGGGTTTGAGCCCGAGGGAGAGGCTGAATATGTTGGAGCTTTTTTCCCTGAGCATCAGAGGCTGAGGGATTACCTTGTAGAGGTTTATAAAATCATGAGGGACGTGGATAGGGTGAACAGCCAAGGTCTTTTTCCAAGTGTGGGGTAGTCCAAAACTAGAGGGCATAGGTTTAAGGTGAGAGGGGATAAGATTTAAAAGGGACCTGAGGGGAAACTTCTTCATGCAGAGGGTGGTGCATGTATGGAACAAGTTGCCAGAGAATGTGGTAGAGGTGGGTACAATTACAAAATTTAAAATGCATCTGGATGTGTACATGAATAGGAAGGGTTTAGAGGGATATGTGTCAAATGCTGGCAAATGGGACTAGATCAGTTTAGGATATCTGGTTGAAGTGGATGAGTTGGACCTAAGCGTCTGTTTCTGTGCTGTATGACTCTATAAAAATCTCTTCTAAAAGAAAATGCATTTACATGGTAATGTATGTATATGCTTTAAATAGTCACTGTTTTTGGATGGGCAGTAAAATCCAATTGGGTTTCTCTGGATCTTCACCCTAAGTTTGAAAGATTAATGTTAGCAGCTAGTTGTTTTAGGTTTGTACCACTACTTGACAACCCCACAACTTAAATCCACATAGTTCTAGGTGGGTATTAGTCACTACTAACCTCAGAATAACATTGATGTTTTGTCCTGTGATTTGCAGATTTTTGGCTTCCTCATCATCATGTGTACAGTTCTGGCTATTGGAAATAGTATCTGGGAATCTCAGAAAGGGTACTACTTTCAGGTCTACTTGCCATGGGACAGTGATACGCCAAATGCTTCATTTTCTGGATTTCTAATGTTCTGGTCATATGTGATCATTCTGAATACCGTTGTCCCAATATCCCTTTATGTCAGGTAGGTTATTTTTAAACTTTCAGTCTTTTATTTAAAAACCAAAAGAACTGCTGTGAATCAGAGACAAAAATCGAAATTGTGGAGAGAAATGAGAGTTAAAGTTTCTGAGGAAGGGTCACTCAACCCGAAATGTCAACTCTGATTTATCTCCACAGATGCTGCCAGACTTGCTGAGCTTTTCCAGCAATTTCTATTTTTGATTCAGTTTCATTTATTCTAGCTCTGGACAAAGTGTCTAATATTATATTGTTCCCATCAGCCTTGTAAATTGTTTATAAACTGTATTGTTGTGATTCTAAATTCCAACAAAATAGTCTGAACGCAAAATGTGTTTGAAGAACTGTAAAGTTTTATGGTGCATGTTAATCAACAGTTTCTTCAGAGTTATTGCTAATTGTAAATTCATGTAGAACCAACCCAAGATGGACAATTTTAACATTTTAATTCAATTCAATTTTCAATGGGTAGGGGTTTTTTTAGCCTCTGAATGATGGGGCTATGGCAAGAAGTTTGGGAAAGTCAGGTGGGATGTCTGATGAGGCCCTACTTAATGTCAATACTGAAGAGTTGCATTTTTCAACGAAGTCTATAACACCATAAGTTGTCGGAGCAGAAGTGAGCCATTCAGCCCATTGAATTTGCTGTACCATTCAATACGATCATGGCTGACCTGATAATCCTCAGCTCCACTTTCCCGCCTATCTCCATTACCCTTGATTCAGTTACTGATTGCAAATCTGTCTGTCACTTTATTGAATATACGTAATGAACCAGCCTCAAAAGCCTTCTACAGTAAAGAATTCCACAGACTCACTACCCTCTGAAAGGAGAAATTCCTCCTCAGCTCTGTCTTAAATGTGTGACACCTATTCTGATATTCTGCACCCTGGTCCTAGACTTTCCCACAAGTGGATACACAGCTGTGGTCTTACTGGTAGTTTTAGCAAGACCTCCCTATTTTTATCACACACAAAAACAAAGTGCTGAGAAACTCAGGTTTGGCAGCGTCTGTTGAGAGAAAAACAGTTAACATTTTGAGTTTGTTTTGATGAAGGGTCATTGGACTTGAAATGGTAACTCTGTTTTTCCCAGCATAGATGCTGCCAGACCTGATGAATTCCTGCAGTACTTTCTGTTTTGGGGTCAGATCTCCAGCATCTGCAGTACTTTGTTTTATCTTCCTATTTTATACTCTATTCCCTGAGAAATAAAGACCTGCATTCCATTTGCCTTCTCTATTTCCTGCTGATGCTAGCTTTTTGTGATTCATGCACAAGGATCCTCAAATCCCTCTCTGCTGCAACTTTCTACAGTCTTCCTCCATTTAAATAGCATTTTGCTCTTTTATTCTTCCTATCAAAATGCATAATATCACATTTTCCGAAATTATTTTCATCCAGCCAAGGTGCTGCCCACTGGCTTAACTTGTCCATATCCCTGTGTATACTCTTTTTATACTGTCCACACTGCTTGCCTTTCCAACTAATTTTGTGTCATCCACTAACTTGGCTGTTGTATATTCACTTCCCTCATTCAAGTCATTAATATATATTGTAAATAAATAGTGGCCCCAACAGCGATCTGAGTGGCATTCCAGTATTACAAAGTAAATGCTGAGAAGATGTTTCTCCTCAAGGGAGAGTCCAGGACCAGAAGGAATAGTCTCAGGATAAAAGGACACTGACTTAGGACTGAGATGAGGGGAATTTTTTTTTCTCTCAGAGGATTGAGATTCTCTCAGAGAGCTGTGGGGGCAGATTCTTTCTGTATATTTAAGGCTGAGACAGATAGGTTCTTGATTAGTAGTGGAATGAGGGCTATGGGGCAAATGCAAGAATGTTTCAGGTTTCCATCCTGAAAATACCCCCTTAAGCCCAACTCTGTCTTCTCTCAGTTAGAGAAACCTCCACTCATTCTAATATATTGCCTCCAGCACCAAAGCTCTTATTTTATTAGGCAACCTTGTGGGCAGTACATTAATGAATGCCTTTTGAAAGTCCAAATATATTGCATCCACTGGTTCCCCTTTATTTTATCCGGCTTGTTACCTCCTTAAAGAATTGCAATAAATTTGTCAGACATGCTTTCCCTTTCATGAAACGGTGCTGCCTGTGTTTGTTTTTATCATTTATTTCTAAATGCTATGCTATTGCATTGCTTATAATGCATCTAATATCTTTTCCCATGGCAAATTTTAAGCCAGCTGGTCTATGACTACCTGAATATGTCTCCTTTCCTTTTTGAATAAGGATGTTACAGTGAAGTTTTCCAACCCTCTGGGACTTTACCAAAGTCTAAAAATTCTGACAAGACGGCTACAAGTGCATCTGCGATCTCTATAGCTACATCCTTTGAAATCCTGGGTTGCAACCCATCGCATCCAGAGGCCCTTTAGTTTCCTTAGTAGTTTGCTCCAGTGATAGTTATTGTGTTCATTTTCAATCTCCACCACCACCTTGGACTCCTTGGTTATTTCATATTTTTAGAATGTTATTAATGCTATCTATTTAGAAGACTGATGCAAAGTATTTATTCAATTGCTTTGCCATTTCTTTGTTCCCTGTTACTTCATGTTATTCATGAATTTTCCAAGTTAGGATAGTATGTGACTTGGAAGTGATTTTGCAGATGGTGGTCCGTGCATCTGCTCCCTTGTAGTTCTAGGTGGAAGGCGTTACATGTTTGGAAGGTGTTGTTTGGAAGGATTCTTGAAGCATTTCTGAAGTGTATCTTGGAAATGGTCACATTGGCGGCACTGTGCATTGGTGGTGAAGGGAGTGAAAACTGAAGGTAGTTGAAGTGATACCAATGAGGCGGTCTGCTTTGTCTTCGATGGTGGGAAGCTTCTTGAGTCTTGTTGCTACTGTGGAGAATATTCTGTCACATTCCTGAGTTGTGCCTTATAGGTGGTGGACAGCCACGGGAATTGAGTTACTGCCACAGAATTCTCATCCTCTGACCCACTGCTATTGCCATAATATTTATTTCTGCTGGCCAGTTCAGTTTCCAGACAATGGTAAGCCCTTGGGTGTTGATAATGTGTGACAATAATGCCATTGAATGTTAATGGGCAATGGTTAGATGTAAATAGTAACTGCCTGGCATTTGTGCAGTGCAAATGTTACTTGTCAAGAAGCTTGCTTGTCACTTAACTAAAATCATAAAACTTCTCATTAATAACACAATGTGGAGTTGGAGGAACTCAGCAGGCCAGGCAGCATCAGAGGAACAGGAAAGCTGACATTTCAGGTCGAGACCCTTCTTCAGAAAAAGAAGAAGGGTCCTGACCTGAAACAGCTTTCCTGTTCCTCTGCTACCTGCCCTGCTGTGTTCCTCCAGCTCCACACTGTGTTATCTCTGACTCCAGCATTGGCAGTTCTTACTATCTCTGAAACTTTTCATTAATGCTTTTTTTAACTCAGTGGTCAAAACAACTTAATGATCTTTAAAATAAAGATCAGATCTTTACACTACTGCAAAACTAAAATCCATTTCCCTTCACTTTGGATGTTGGATATTGTATTGCCCTTGCTGCAAGTTGTTTCAGTGTCTGAGAAGTCACCCCCAAAGAGTGCTTCTGACCTTATGATGCAGGGAAAGTCATTGATGAAGCAGCTGAAGATGATTGGAAAAGAAGCATGGGGCAATTGTGGTTGGTAAATTGCTGAAAAGATTCATAATATTCTTATGTGAGAACTTAAATTCTAAAGTGAAGGCAAATGATTTTTAGTTTTGCAGTCCTGTGAAGATCTGACGTTTATTTTAGAGATCATTAGGTTGTTTTGACCATTGAGTTTAAAAAAAGCATTAATGAGAAGTTTTGTGATTTTCGCTAACTGATCAGCCAGCTTCTTGAGGAGATAATTTTTTAAGATATTTGCTGATTTGAGTTTCACTACAACCCGAGAAACAGAGAGAAGGAGCCAGAAACAGATTCATTCAGGGAGCAGAGGCCCATGATGCAGAGATGCTAGAGAGAAGTCCTGAGCTGTTTGAAAGTTAGAAGAAAACTCCAGAATTAGATGGCTAAGGGTGCATCAGAGAAGAAGATATCCTTGTTGAAGACGTGTTTAGAAAGCACATGTTAATTAATTGTAACTTGAGTTAACAGTTTGATTTTAAAGTCTTGGGAAAAATATTGACTAAAGAAATTAACATCCAGTGAGTGCTCAGTAATTTTCCAAAAGAAAATCAATTACGACAGTGTCAGCTGAGCAGGAAGCTTTTAAGTGAAAAGTTGGGTGACTCTTCATTGAGGTTTGAGTCACTCAGGATACTGCTGAGATAAAAGGAATGAGTGTTTCTTTCAGAGGTAGTAGGAACTGCAGATGCTGGAGAATCTGAGATAACAAGGTGTAGAGCTGGATGAACACAGCAGGCCAAGCAGCATCAGAGGAGCAGGAAGGCTGACATTTCGGGCCTAGACCCTTCTTCAGATGAGATTGCTCCAATATTATTTTTCTTTTGTTTGATAGACTTTTATGTTCCTTTTGTTAAAAGTACAGCAGCAGCCCATTAAAGTCTATAAGACATAGGAGCAGAAATTAGGTCATTCAGCCCATTGTGACAATGTTCCATGACTGACCTCCAGATAAACGAAAGAAAAGTAAAGCTTATTACCAATTAGCCAGATTTCACTTTGAGATCTGACTTTTTCAGTATTACCTTTAGCAAGGATGACAGCAAAATATATTGGAGTTCTTTGAGGATGTAAATGTGGGTAAAGGGGTACCAGTAATGTGACAACACTATGGCTTTAAGAGGTGTATTTTGTCCTGGATTTTAATTATGAGCAGAGGTTGAGGCAGAGACACCATGCGGTCTGTTCCAAGACAATAAAGTAAACAGCTTGTGAGGCCTTGGATTTTTTAAAAAGTTGGAACAATAGAAGCAGATGTAGAGGTGGGGTCAACTCCCACAGAACCAAGACTTTAGTTTAGCTTCTAGGAGCTGTTGGAAGCCGATATACATCTCTCACTGCTACAGCAAAATACTTGAGT